TTTAAAAAAGGGCTAAAAATACTTAGAAAATAACTAATTATTATTTTCCAAATACAACACTGTTCATCACTGCTATATGTAATCTATTGAACGTTTCGATGCAAACTGAGTCATTGTTTATAAAATAGCCTGTGCCTCACAGGTAGCCTAACAAAATAGGTTGTCCACTCAGGTGGACAACCGTCCCCACAGTGTTAAAAGCAAATTGCAGGACTGAAATGTCAAGGAGTGTAATAATATATTTAACCCTTTAGGGACGGGAAGGATCCAAGTGTACCGTGCCATGGTCCGAGTTACTGCCGCATTTAAAATACCCGATGCATATCTTGGCTTAACGGCGGTTTTAGTGCATAGCACTTCAACTTTAATTCTGGACATAGTATATGTTTATACACAGTTTTGCCACAGGATAAATAAAATTGTATTAACATTGAATATCTCGCCCATCGATATGTACTTAGGTGAGACGCATATAAGCGTTCCTCGGCTCTAACAACTGCCTTCGCCAAACGCAGCTCTCGTCCCCAAAAGGTTAAATCCTAGTAAAGAGGTGTTGGTTTTACCATCGACTTGAGAATTTGGCATCAGCAATTGTCAATTATCGAATAGACGGTTTTCAACATATTTTACTAAATTTTTGGGTTATAATATTTTCACAATTCACTTCAATACTACGAACAAACCAAATTACTTTACATGTGGCACTTTCGAAATTAATTCAATTTAAAATGTTTTTATTAGCTTTTGCACCTGACTGTTTATGTTTGATTTTTATTTACTATAAAAAATATTATTTTAAAAAAGACAAAACTTATAGTAATTTTGATTTAAAAAATTTATCTATTCGGCTGAAAAATAACTCATAAATTCAATTTTTGTTAAAATCTTGTTTAGTGAAAAAGTGCTAACGGATATTCAAACATACAGGTAATTAATTCAATTTTGTTATTAATCTTTTCTTAAAATTTTCCATAACTTTCAAAAACAATTGTTTTTATCATTTTTAATATCCTGTTATATAATCCACTCATTTATTTTTATCATTTTCATTTTGATCATATTATCATATTTCTGTACATTATTTTTTCAACTAATTTATTAATTAGAAAATCCATTTTTTTTTCTTAAACATATTGTCCTGAAGATGGAACGTACCTAGTTCCGAAACGTCAGTAGTAAATAAATAAACAAAGAAAGAAATAGTTTATTTAAAAAACTTTTTGTTTTTTATTACTTTTTGGATTTTTGTTCGAAACTCTACAAAATATACACAAATCCAAGACTCTACTATTTAATATATATATATATATATATATATATATATATATATATATATATATATATATACGAAACAATTAACACATATAGTGTTTTAAATGTTTAGCAACTTTTTGGAATTTAGTTCTTCCCATATAAAACTGAAGGTAGTAGTAGTAGTGCACTGAAAAGAATTTTAATTGAGAATTAGATGATATTTGACATAGAATGTGTAAAAAATGTAATAATTGGCAAGAATTATTATTGTGACGTAAAATTTAATATATACCGTAGAGGAGAGCTAGTAAGACGTTAAGTTTAAGTTAACATCTTGTCCAGGCCCGTATTTAGAAATTTATCGCTCTGGGGCACTGACAAAAATGCCGCCCCATCCCTGAAATTTTACTTAAATAGTTTTTATTTATCATTTTTCTAAAATTGCAGAATATTTATTACGCATTACATACTATAAATAGTTGCTGGAAAATCCCGTACCAAAAATTATAATTAAAAAAAATTTTTTTTGAAAACTGAAAAAAATCCATTTTTGAAAGAATTTGACCTTTTTGAAAGTATTGAGTTTTTTTATATTTTGAAATATTTTGGAAATTTGGAACTTTTTGTAAAAGCAATCGCGCTGCTTTTACCAATAATAATTTTATTAAAATAGTAAATTTTAATAATCGGTTATTTGAACCCAAATTTGCATAGCAATCGTGTTATGTTTTGTTAATTATATTTCTTGAAATAGAAAATGTTATTAAAAAAAAGTTAATTACATTGTATAGAACTTATTCCTCACTATCCAAATTTTGCCGCCCTGGGCAGTAACCCCGACTGCCCCTACTGTAAATCCAGCACTGATCTTGTCCCTATCCCGCATAATACGCTTTCTTGCGTTTTTGGTCCGGTCCCTGGGAAGTCTTCTTAACGGGCTTTTACTATACACTATATGTTTAGGATTTTAACAAAAAAAATAGTGTTCTTAATATTTATGTAAAAAATATTATCACCCCATAGGGGGTATTATTGCCATCTCAGACATTTTTTTTTTTTTTTTGTAAGAAAAAGGAAAAAAAACTCGTTAGAAATGAGAATGTATGTGTGTTGGCGCGCGTATGTAAGTGCCTCTTGTATGAATGTATGGATGGATCTGTCACGTTAAGGATGGTTTAAAAAACATTGGATTCGTATTTTTTAATGCGCAGATGGTTTCTGGTAAACGCAGGTCCATGATATATCATATTATTTAGTTAGGTTTCCTACCAACATTTAAAATTCTTATAAAATTAGACGTTACTACTTGCATCATTCTCTCTTGACGAACGATTTTGTGTAAATCCATATGGATATACATTTTCGAATATTGTTGTTTAAAATTTCAATTACTCGACCATTTCAAACTTCTCGAAATAAATCAAACTTTTAGAAAGAATATATGTTCAAAAAAGTATATAAAAATGAAATTTTTAAACAAAAAAGAGGTATTTCAAATATTTTTAACAAAAAATAATTTTCTCAAAATAGTCAAAAAATTCAAATGTTTAAAACATTTAACATATAAAATCAACAAATTTTCAAGAAAAAATATTTTTTTAAATTTTGAATAATATTTAAATTTACCTAAATTAAATAAAAAACTTGAAAGCACTCATATTTTGCAGAAATATCATAATTTCATTTGTTTCATTAATCTGATTTTAAGCCACTGTGGCATACGTCACTAATTAACTCGTGTATCATATAGCAAAATTGAAAAACAGCACTTCTAATCAAGCTTTCATCAAAGCTGTTTTAATACAAATTACCTGAAACATCTATAACACTCTTAAATATCTTTAATAATATTTTTAAATCATCGTGAACTAATCGCTTATATCAATTTTTTTAACCATTCTCATCCTTCACGCACTTTAACATTCACTTAACTTCAAAACATGCGGTGCGTATTAACAAAAACAAAACAAAAATATGAAAAAAATAACGAGACCGGTGTTGCTTCGTAGTTCGGGGCATTTATATTGTTAGATTGATAGTCGTATTTTAAATTCAAGATAATAATAAGAATGATATAACAAAAGACAGTTTCCCCTGCGCAAGAAGACTGGATTATTGGAAAGGTAGCGTTAAAAACATGCACCGCTAAAACTGCTGAAAGAGGACGCAAATGGCTCGGCGTTACGGGTTACGTCTTGTATGCCCGCAAAAACCATAGGTACTCCGACCAGCTGCTGAAAAAGGCAGGAGCGAATTGGAACGCTTTTCGCATTCTGAAACGATTTCAAATTGGCTGCATAACAGCCCTTCTAGTTAAAATAATTATAGGCGAGAATTTGTTGAAACGTTAAGAAATATCTGTACGGTGTTTTAAGCCTATGTTTTACGTAAGGGTTTGCTTGGAATAATTAAAGTTAATAAAGAAACAATTCTTTATTCAACGTTTCGACACTCGGTATTTGTAATAATTCAGCAGTTTAAAGTACAATATTACAATGAATAATAAAAAATTGAAAATATTGGCATGTATATTTCTTCTCCGTTAATTTTTATTAATTTTCAAATTTAGAATACCAAATGATAAAATCAAATATATGTGTGTAAGTAAATATATATATATATATATATATATATATATATGTGTGTGTGTGTGTGTATGTATGTATGTACGTATGTATCGTGCATTTATGTACATGCATATACACGCTATTTGTAATAAAAATTAGCACTTCTGCAACTAATTAAAGTGCTCGGACTCTATAAACTGCGAACCAATTGTGTAAAGTGGCTATTGTTTTATGTTCGTCAAATTTTAAATTTAAAAATATTTGAATCATTTAAATATTAAATATTAGATGCATTTGAGTTGGTCTGTTTATAATAAATCAAGTGTTGTTTTAGTGAAAATATTTTTCTAATATTAACTTGATTAATATAAAATATATTTATGTATAAAATTGAAGCATATAATTTGCTGATGCATTAATATATAAAACCTGAAGTGATTCAATTTAAATAAATTGAAATATGTGTATAACTGATATAAGTAAAATTAATTTCCGATCCAACAGTTGTCGGCAAGTTCAGTATGAATCGTGTAAATAATAAATTTAAAATTAAGCGAATGTTTCTTATTCGTCCCTGTGATGTTATTGTCGAAGCGTTCTAATATTAGCCCTAGTTTGCTGACGAAATCTTCGCACCAGGAGATCTAGTAACTCAAAAACCATCACCGAACACACTCTGCAATAGTCGACTACTCGCGCACACATCGTTCGTCGTACAGTATGTATGAGCATTGAGCACATATGTCGTGCAGTACATACGCGCACATAAACGAATGCAAATCAGACATCAGACACAGCAGCTCCCGAATTCGTGTAGAGGAGTCGGTCGTCAGTCGTCAGTCGTCAGTCGCCTAAACTAATGCGGGCAGTTTGGAACTGAGAGCTGGAAATTTTGTTCGGCTTGACTGAATTTCACATTTTGTATATGCTTCACGCATAATACACTCATACATCACAACAATAAAATACAGTTCATTTTTTGTCAAGACTGGTTCAGTATCCGATTTTAGTGCAAAATTCTGTGCAGTTCAGTGTCGAGAAATAAATCCTGTTACAATAAACGTTAGATAAATTTAAATTTAAATATTTTTGAGATGACATTTTGCTTTTAATGAAAAGTTTAAAATAGCTTAATAAATTTACTTAAAAACAACCGTTTGAAAATAATTATATTAACTGCAGGAGTGAAGGAAATCCAATATTTTTTTAAATAGTGCAGTGTTTATTGATATTCTAAATATGTTGATGCCTCCTTCAAATTTGGACGATTCGAGCTTGGTCGGAGGTCTTGGAGCCCTTGGTGCATCCGTAGTGGGCATGCAGCAGAAAGACACCACGTGGACTAAGCTTTTTGTTGGTGGGCTGCCTTATCATACAACTGACAAAAGTCTTCGGGAGCATTTCTCAGTTTATGGAGAAATCGAGGAAGCCGTTGTCATAACGGACAGACAAACTGGAAAAAGCCGCGGATATGGTTTTGTGAGTCTACATTTAAATTTACTCGAAATTCACTTTTAATATAAAATGTTTGTTAATTCGTCTTCAGATTTATTACCTTTAATCTTAAAGTATTTGACCCTTAATTTAAAATATTGTGAAACAATTCGTTTTTCATAGTCACTTATAAACCTAAAACCATCTACAATAGAAAAAAATTTTACTTACATATTTATATTTCCTATGTAAATATAAAATTGTAATTTTGTATATTTGTATCTATTACGATTATTATTTTGCTATGCTATTTGATTTTAAAGTTATCAGAATCGGTATAGGGTAGGGGTGGGCAAAAAGGTCCAATTTAATATTTGAGCAATTATATTGTTAAAACCAAACCAATTACAATGCAACAATAAATCAAACTAACTGACCATGTTCAGTAAAATTCCTAGCTAATTCATCACTATAGAAATGTTTTTTGCTGTATTTAAAAATTTTGTTACCTGGTCTTTGTTACCCCATGAGCGGGGTAAAATGTAACGGCCAGGAAGAACCAGGTCTTACTTATTACAGGGTTTTTACAAAATAATGCTACATTATTCAACTAATACAAAATATAAATTTTATGGGTACATTTTTTACAGAGATAACACTGTAAATAACCGTGATCCGGTATTTCATCAAAAATATTTATCAGCAGAGTTGGAATAATTTCATATAATATTTATCTTTAGTGAAAATGCATTTTCAACTTAATTATTTTTTTATTTGCTATTTTTTATTTTTTTACAGGGTAAAGGTTTAATTGGTCCTTTTTACCCCATCTAGATGTAGGTTATTATAAAGGTTATATAAAAAAACTGTTGTCTTTCTAATTTAATATTTATGCTTTATTTAAAATATATATATATTTCAAATGCACTATAAACTATTTTATTACCAATTGTATTGTAAGATTAATACGTCAAAATTGATAAAAATTAAAAGTTTATAAAAAAAAATAGTTTTTGGTCACTATTTCGTAAAAATAATTTTTGGCCAAGTTCTTGTAGTATAAGGGGTAACCTTTTCACTGTACAACACGCTTTCGAAGGGATAAAAGTTTCTATAGGTCAGTCAACTATATGTTAATAAAATTCAACAGCTTGCTAGGGTTCCGTATCACAGGTACAAACAGTATACTGTTGTCGGAAATTTGTTTCTATAATTTAGTGGTCTTATAAGCTACAACTGTCGTTGTGAATTAATTGAAATATAGTCAATTTTTCTTACTTGCTTATATAGACGAGGAAAATTATTATAACTTTTCTGTTAATATTTTTATATAGTCACAAAAACAAGAAGTTACTTCAGAATATATTTTTTCCAAATGATGTTAAGAAGATTTTTTTAAACTAATAATCTCTTTGTGTACCACACGCATGGCCGCTTACCATGCAGGCGTTTTTGTTAAATAGACTATTTGAAAGGAAAATTAATGACATCATAAAAAAACTAATATTGCGATCTGAAATCACTGTGGAGAAGTTATCAAAAGAACGAAGTTACTATTGCAAATGATCTTTACTGCATGTAATGGCAATACGTTTATTTTAAAAAGTTGTCATTCTACAGAACCTTCAGTATGCAAGACAGGCTTCATAATCGATTTTTCAATGCAATTTTAAAATTTTATTCTATAGCATTACATCAAAGTAGTATATTTTTTAATGCAAAGTTAATCAAGCCTAAAATTTAAATATTTTTTGTTTTTACCTAATGCAATCTAAACTCATATTGTGGTTAGACACAAACCTATTTCGATCATAATATATTTTTCGAAAATTGTAAGAATTATATGGTTTTAGTAAAAACTTTGCACATATCATTTTTAACCCAAGTGCCTAATAAATACCAAGTTTTGTTTATAATGTTCATTATATGGTAGCTGATAAAAATATATTGAATTTTTCTTCATAAAATGAACGTTTCACACAAAGAACCAACGTTCTCGTGTCTTTCAACAGTTATTTTGCCTACATCTTTTGGTTTACTGTTTTCTAGCCCTTAATTATTTATTTATTTTTCAATAATTTGATTTACAATGTTAATAAAACATTTATAGATTTAGAGCTGTATTGGAGATTTATGTTAGTTAAGTTGCTTCTGGAGAAGAAAATTAGACAAATTTAAATCATTATAAAATTTTTTAAACTTAAATAATTCCATACAAAGTAAGGGAGATTTTAAATTAAAATCGCATTCTGATCTACAGATATTTAACGTCACTGGAAAAATTTTGATTATTTAAGTGTTGTCAACCTTTTTTTTTAATTTGATTGTTATTTTAATCTGTATTTCCTACCACGTAAGATAGAAAATATTAAATTGAGACAAACAATAATAAAAGATTTTCAAAAAATTTTCCAGGTTGCAGTAGGTATCATGTGCTTAGATTGAACTGATTTAATTTATGGTTGTCAAATGCGACAAAATTGCAGCTGTAACTAACTAGTAATTTTATTATTTTTAAATAATGTTCGTGAAATACGTACCGTTTACCTTCAAAAGCGTCTTTTAAACTTAATACTAAAAAAACGCTAAACGATTTCAAGGCAGATAATAGTATTTCATTGCCAATTCTAAAATCTACTACCTTTATGTGAAAATTCAAAATACTTTTGATAAAATTTTGTTTAAAAGTATTAAAATGCGCACAACAAAAAACGCAAATGTTTTATTTTCATTTTGAGACTTGTTTGCTTTTCCATTTCACATATCTTCATTCCATTTAATAAATCAGATATGGACAAACCCAACCAGTTATTAGAATTATAAAACAAATGAATATTGGATAATGACATAATAATGTAAAGGAAACAAGAGTTTATGAAGGGGTTCGCCTGGCATCTGTGGGATGCACGTCAATTTTTTTTACGAACCACAAAAGAAATATCGTATTACTTCATACAATATTGATTAAGAACATATGGCCATTTTTTTTATTAATTGCACACTATAAACAAAATTAATATTTTGTTTTTGGATGTACAACTTTTCGATCTTTCTCAATCTTTCATTCTGCAATAGCAAAATAATTTTGTAATACACATCGTTACGAGTATATTTAATATTTCATAAACCAAGTTTTGAAAATGAATCACACGCTGACATATGAGCAACCCAAGCCTAAATTTAGATCGTGTTTAAGTTTAAGCACTTTAATTACATTTAATGAGTAATTAAGGACTCATTTGTTTTGTACGAACATTATATGCAATGGATATCAGGAAACATGCTAGAAAAATTATATTCAAACATTTTTGAGTCCGAGCTACTGTAATTTTGTAGAACGCCTCTTTCTACTAATATAAGCTTATTACTTTAGTCTTAGTACTCAACTTAAATTTACTACTTTCTTGCTATTTATATTTTAAAGATACATGATTCTGCATAAGTTATATCAAATGTTTGCATTTGAAGTAGTATTCAAGGAAAATAAACATTATTTTCGTTACTGACGTTGAGTTTATGAAATAAACATTCTATATCATATCATACCATAATGAAAGACATTAATTATCAAAGTGAAGGCGCATTTAACAAAGTCTCCACATCATGAACAAATTTGACTTTAATGCACATATTTCATAAATCCACGTGCATCAAATACTTTTTATCTGACAATGAGTTCAACTAAATTAATTTTTCGAATATCTTTTAACATCTTTGATTTTTACTTTAATATATTTGGTTTGTTAGAAATTAGGTATAATATACCTCGTTAATATGCGAATGTTAAAATGCCAGATCTATTGCTTTTAATTTCCGGAATCGATTTTTTAACATCAGAAGATTAAGCAAGGGTTTCTTTTAAACTTACCGGTACTGATTTTTGAAATATGGCATTTTTAACAAATACAACTGTTATAAAACAATGTGTTCACTATTACAGAATAATGTACGTACATCTTTAGAATCTCAGGTACTAAATTCTTTTGATTTAAAAAACGCCAGTTGTTGCACACCCTACGTTCGGTAACACGAGATAGTTTCGAGTTCGTATCTTCGTAAACCGGTGTTAACAACGGAAGAGAGGACATATATACCCGAAGATACTTCAACAATTATAGTATATATATATATATATATATATATATATATATATGTATGTATGTATGTATGTATGTATGCATGTATGTATGTATGTATTTACAAGCATGTGTAAATAATGAGAAAAATTTATTATTATATATAGATATATTCATTTATCTACCTATAAATGACGGAGCTAGATTATAATAGTTAACAATTTCACTAATTTGTTTTCTCGCAATACGAACGAAAGCTGAAATGAAAAAGTACGAAAGCTAACACGAAACTACAGAAGCTTACAAAAGTATGTGAAACTTCTACGCCAAATATATTTTGAATGGTCGTCATCATCAAAATAACCTGAAATGTAAATTAAACTTGTGTTACCATTTTCACCAACAATGATAAATATATTTATATTGCATTTTGTTATGTTTTCTTGTTGTTTTTGAAAAATTTGTCATCTGATCTTTTTTATCCCATAGGAAGGGTAAATGACGGCCAGGGGGCAAACAGGTTCAATGTCTTATTTTAAATTTTAAAGTCATTTACAAAATAATAGCTACATTATTCAACCAATGCACCATATAAATTTCATGGGTACATTTTTGCAAGGATAACACTAATATAACCTAGATCTGGTATTTTATCAGAAATATTCATCAACAGAATTAAAATAACTATTTACTTAATATATTTCTTGTAAAAAGTTTACTTTTTTTTCTATTTTTTACTGTTTACACCTTTGCCAATGTCCAGTTGGTCCCTTTTACTCCACATGTAATCTTTTATAGAGGTTATATAAAAAACTGTCGAATCTAACACAAAATTAACAATACATTTTATAAAACAATTAAATGACGTATAGTTAAAATTATATCAAGGACTCCTAAACTTAACAACCAAAAAAACTTACAACGAAATAAAATACTTTTGTTAGATTTTCAAATGTTGCCTGGTGCTGA